AAAACACCAACAACCATACTGGGAGCTGGGATATAGCTCAGTTGGCAGAGTGCTTGCCTCGCATGCACATGGCCCTGGGTTCAATCCCTAGCACCACCACCAAAAAAATACTGGATTCAGTGGTGATGTGCCCTTTGGTGCAAGTGTCAGTGCAGATCATGTTCTTAATATTTTCTTGACTACCTGGCTGGTTGGTAGCTTGGTGCTATCTCATGTTTAATTTTTTATTTTTATGTACAATTTATGATAATGATGATGCAAAACTACAACTTTGTTGGGCCTAGGTGCACATAAATGTTTTGACTTCTTTGGGATTAAAATAATACTGAGTTTTGTAGTCTTCCTTTTGAGCTTGTGTCTGAAATGAAGCCATGCGCTGTATCATCAGATGACAGCACACCAGTGGAAAGGTGGAACCTTGCATACCAATCAGAGAGAGATCACTTGGAGCACTTTAAGTATCTAATTTTTCTTACCACTACTTTGTGTTTTCCTTGATCCTCTGTAGCTTAATTGAATCTCTGAAGTTCTGGAGGACCCGCTTCCTGCTTTTGCCGGCCTGTGTCACTGCCACCAAGCGCATCACAGAGGGGGAGGTCCACTGCGACATCTATGGGGATAGACCTCGTGCTGATGAGGATGAGTGGCAGCTCCTGGATGGCTTTATCCGTTTTGTGGAGGGTTTGAACCGGATCCGCAGGCGGCATCGCTCAGATCGCATGATGCGGGTGAGGACTCCTGGGGTTCCTTAGGGACTGTACCTAGTATAGTATACAGGATCTGTCACCTCCTATCTCTCAGGAGCCTCCCATTGGCTAGTTTTTTTTTTTTTAAGCCTCATAGCTGTCTAATGTTTATTTTTAATCCCAAACTGTGTTGTTATCCATTGTAGGGTGAAGAAGGGGGGTTATAGGGTACAGACAAAGATTGGGCAATGTCCCATGACTGGAGCTGTTCCCCTGAGGATATAGAGCCTTTATCTGCTCTCCAAGTGGTCCAGTTTTGAAACAGCTATCTATGTGATGTGGTGGTGAATACAGACGTTTAGGAGGTTAACAGAAACAGTCTTTTGTTACTCTTATATCACTTTAAGAGTTTTTAGCACCCTTGTTTCTTCATTTCAATCACACACTGCAACCCAATGGGAAAACTGAGGCTACTGTTATGGGATATATCTGAGGCACTTTGCCAATAAAGGGCAGATCTAGGATTCAACTGTTTTGTTTTGTTTAAATTAACATACAATATAATTGACGTGGCTCTGTGTGTGTGTGTGTGTGTGTGTGTGTGTGTGTGTGTGTGTGTGTTGGGGGGCATACATACTTGCACACAATCTATGAATTTTAACAAATATATAGATTCAGGCAGCCACCACCATGATCTGCTAAAGAATAATTTCATCACTTAAAAAATGCTCCATTATGCTACTGTTTTTAGTCATATTCTCCTGCCTCCCTGTCCCCTAGCAACCACGGGCCTGTTGACCATCATGATTCTTTTATCTTTTCTAAATATCACAAAAATGGAATCATATAATATGAAATCTTTTGAGACTGCCTTCTTTCAGTTAGCATTATGCTTTGGGATTTATCTAAATTGTTCTAAGAATCAGTAGTTCATTCTTTTTAATTGCTTGGTAGTGTTCCATCATCATGTTTTTATTTTTATTTTTTTTAACCCAAAACAAAAGTTCTTTAATCTTCCTTCCACATCAGCTGCCTTTTGTATGCAGCCTCACTTATGATTAGGAACATTTTTAGGAGATCTTTTATACTGGGAAGAGCTTTGGTTTTGATTTGAGGCAGCTGAAGTTTGAATTTCATCTCCAGTGCAATTTGGAATAAATTACTTAACTTTCTGAGCCTCAGTTTCTTCTATCATTTCCGAACACGAAGAATCAGTATTCCTCTACTGTGTTAGTTGAATTCCCAGGGCTTGAAGATGAAGAGGCTTATCCTGATGTGTGAATGGGGTCTATTGCAAAAGCCCTTTTGAGCTTCATCTCTTCTTTTCTGCTTTAGAAAGGAACTGCCATGAAAGGCTTGCAGATGACTGGGCCCATTTCCACACACTCCCTTGAGTCTACAGGTCCCACTGCTGGGAAGAAAACCTCAGCTCTGTCTGCCCTGCTAGAGATGGAGGCCAGTCAGAAGTAAGTGCCTGGTTCAAGAGGGACCTGCCCCACCCTGAAGACCCCAAGGGTTTTCAGTGCTCCACTCCTCTGTGTGGGGTAAAATCTGTAAGGAGCTTGTAGGAAAGAAGATGTTTACATGAAAAGAAAACAAGGCTAATACCTGGTAAGTGTTGAATAATATGAAATAGGGCAGCAATTATAAACTTTCAGCCTGGGGCTTAATTTGAACTTCAGACACATTTTGTTTGTCCTACAGAACATTTTTTACGTATTTTTATATATATATATATATATATAATAATTTTTTAAAATATTTTTTAGTTTTTGGTGAACACAACATCTTTATTTTATTTTTATGTGGTGCTGAGGATCGAACCCAGCGCCCTGCGCATGCCAGGCAAGCATGCTACCGCTTGAGCCACATCCCTAGCCCATATATTTATATTTTTGATGAATTCTTTCTATGTTGCCCAGGCTAGTCTTGAATTCCTGGGCCCAATTGATCTTCATGCCTCAGCCTCCTGAATAGCTAGGCATATACCACTGCACTCAGCTCTCAAAGCGTTTTATTTTTAAAATTTTTAAGTGTTTGGTACAGGTATTGATCTCAGGGATGCTCTACCACTGAGCAATATCCCTAGTCCTTTTTACTTTTTGAGACAGGGTCTGGCTAAGTTGTTTAGGGACCTGGTAAATTGCTGAAGCTGCCTTGAACTTGCAATCCTCCTGCCCTAGCCTCTTGAGATTCTGGGATTGTAGGTATGTGCTATTGCATCCAGCTCACAAAGCATTTTAAGAGTACTTCATCCAAGGGCTAGGGCTATAGCTTAGTGTCAGAGCGCTTGCCTAGCATGTGTGAGGCACTGGGTTCGATCCTTATCACCACATAAAAGTAAACAAATGAAATAAAGGCATTCTGTCCATCTACAACTACAAAATAAATAAATAAAAAAAGGAATACTTCATACCCCTCTAAAAAAATGAATACTTTTTCCCAAATTTTCTATTTTGAAGATTTCACATAAAATCCTTGATTTTATATGAATTTTTAAATGAAAATAAATGTAAGATGATCTATGATTCTATTATACAGCATAAAAATTATGTAGTATGGATTATATAATACAATATAAAGTTATAGAGTCAGCTTTCCTTTATTATTATTATTATTATTTTTTGAGATAATGTCTTATTGCATTGCTCAGGCTGGCTTCAAACTCGAAGTCTTCCTTCTTCAGTGTGTTTTGCTTTAAGTAGTCTACATTTGTAGCCTGCCACATTGGCTACACTTTATTTTATTTATTTTTTAATATTTATTTTTTTAGTTGTAGTTGGACACAATACCTTTATTCCATTCATTTATTTTTATGTGGTGCTGAGGATTGAACCCAGGGCCCCGAGCATGCTAGGCCAGTGCTCTACCACTGAGCCACAATCCCAGCCCAGGCTACACTTTAGAAGGACCTATGGTTCTTACTCTGGTCTTGGACTTGTCTTGTATCCTCAGTTATGTTACCTGGCTGGTTTCTCTAGGCATTTGGGAATGTTAATGTAGTTGACAGGATACCAGCTGGATGATACCTTGCTTGGGAGGGCAGGGAGAGTGTTCCAAGAGGTGGGATTTAATTTGGTCATGAAGGCATCAAAAGATTTACATTGAGGGGAGATGGGACTTGGGGGGAAAAGAACATTGCTATGCATAGGTAGAACCTGCCTTGGGCAGCTTTCTTATCCCCCCAGTAAGATTGGATTCTTTTTCTTTCCTCCTTTCTTTTTTTTGGTACTAGGGAATGAACTCAGGGGCACTTAACCACTGAGCCACATCCCCATCCCAAGATCAGGTTTTTGACGCTGTGTTTGCCTGCATCCTGGGCCTATGTACATTAGAGCACTTGTCAGTATTCTCCTGAGCGCCTCAGAAATCTGTTTACTCTTCTTTCCTTTACCATGACTGCTTTGAGGGCAGAGGTTGTGACTCTGCCCAGGACATAGTAGGTATGCGGTGGATATTTATGGAATAGTGGAAGATAGGATGCTGAGCATCTCTCTGTATATTTGTGGGGCAAGTGTGTTAGGGGAGACTGGACATTTTCTTTTGGGTGTGACGGCCAGTATTGGGTATTGTTCCCAGCAGGAGCCAGCACACATTACACTTTCAGAAAGCAACAATGAAATGCATGAGAGAGTATGAGGTATGCTGGAAGGTGCAATTGACAAGATAGCATGGGAAACTGGGTACAGTACATCATCATGTGATCTTATACCAGGAGGAATCCTTTGAAAATTATTTTATTTTTGCGGTGCCGGGGATTGAATCCAGAGCCTTGCATATGGTAGGCAAAATCCCCAGCTTGAAAAATTTTCTGTTTTAAATAAATAAATCCTGCTTTACTGATCACCAGGCTGCAATGATGATTGACTCCTGGCAAGTCTTGTTTCATTTATATTCCACTTGTGTTCACCTTTCCTTTTATTTTTTTCTCAAATCCTAGACAAAAATAAATACCTCTCATCTGTATTATTTCAGAATGTTTCTCTGAAAGATATGTCCTCTTTTTAAAAAAAAAATTCCAAACTACAATACTATAATTTACCTAAAAATTAAGGCTTTTTATTTATTTATTTTTTAAATACCAGGGATTGACCCAGAGGCCCTTAACCACTGAGCCATATCCCCAGTTCTTTTTTATTTTTTGAGACAGGGTCTCAAAAGTTGCTGAGGCTGACTTTAAACTTGATTCTCCTGCCTCAGCCTCCTGAGTTGCTGGGGTTATAGGAAAGTATTACCATGCCTGGCCATTACATTTCTTATATCATAAAATATCTAGTCTGTATTTTTGGTAGAAGTGGTTTCTTCAGGGATAAGCCTAGAGATAGGAGTGCTTGGCAGGTGGGTGCCAGGAGACAGAGACTAGGTAGAGGAGGGTGATGATGAAATGGAAAAGATGGGATATGGCAGGAGAGCAGAGGAACCCAGTAGATTGCCCAGAAGATAGCAATGAGAGAAGGAAAGTGGGTAGGTTGGGGCTCATTACTGATAGCTCTGTATCTTCTTCCAAAAATGTTTCTGACCCAGGAAAGGCCCTAGAACTTTGCTTGGCAGCTTCTCCCTACAACTAATCCTTGAAAGAGAGAATAAGAACTGTATGTACTGGAAGGGTGTAAACCTGGAGGGTGTGAAACTAGGGGTGAGGTATCTTATTTTATTTTTTTCAGTGAGTCATCACTGAGTAGACACCAAGGGTTTCTTTCCACTCAGACCAGGAGAAGAAGGCTCTCTTGGGGTAGTAGTATCCCTTCATGTGAAGGGTGAGAATCAGTTAACCCTATGGCAGGAGGCAGGACAAAGAGACCTGAGGCTTATTTCTTGTTCCCAGATGACTGCTTCAGGGGGACATGCTGTGTTTTTTTAAGAATGGATATAGAGTAGAAAGAGCCAGACTTTTTTATATAACATTTGTTCACACAGCATTTTCACAATATCTCTATTTTCTTTATTTATTTTTATATGATGCTGAGGATCGAACCCAGTGCCTCACATTTACTAAGCAGAGCACTCTGCACTTGAGCCACAACCCTAGCCCCTCCACAGAGCATTTTTTTAAATGTGTTTTTCTTATTCTTCTGTTGCACCAAGCAGATTAAAATTTTTCATCTATATTCTTATTGTGTTACCATAATGTAACTATGTTTTTTTCTTTATGGTGCTGGAGATTGCACCCAGGGGTATTCTATCACTGACATATTATCCGAAGCCATTTAAAAAAAATATTATTTTTGAGACTGTCTTGCTAAGTTGCTTAGGCCGGTCTCAAACTTGGGATTCTCCTGCTTCAGTCTTCTAAGTAGGTAGGATTGCAGGCATGTGCCACCATTCCTAGCTTGTCTTCATTTCTTCTAGTTCCTTCCAGTTTTTATCTGTAGGCACAGACATTTTGTCAGTCTCTCTTGGAAGGCAGATGCCTCTGAAGTCTTATGTGTTTGCTGATTAACAGCAGCGGAATCAACTTAAGGTAACAGGTATTGGCCAGCAGGCTCCTCTACTTCTATTAGAATAGTAAAGCTTGATGATAGCCAAGTTGGGGGAGGGCAACACAGACAGACAGACACTTCAAACAGTTGGAATGTTCTCATCCAAATTCAGGGTGCCTCTTATGTGTGCTTGTTGCTTTGGGTTCCATGCTGAAAGCAGACCAACCACATGATATAGCATACTGTCTACTTACCAAGGCATGTGAAGGGCATCTCTGTACTTTGTCTTTCTGCTTCTGTGTAGGCTGTCTTTTTTCTTCAGTTCATCCTTACAGGCCCACCCAATGCATATGGCATTGCATCTGTGGAGGCTTGTCTACCTGTCTTTTGTCAGAATACAGTGTGTCCTTGTATATCTTCTCATATGTATACCTTGGTGCTCATCATTTTGTGCCAGTCTCCTCCCTAAACTGTTAGACAAGGAGCCTCTAAGGTCTTTCTAATGTCTGAATCTCTGACCTAGTCTATGGGTCAGCACGTGAAAGGCAATTCAATCAATGTAGATTGTTATATGTATCAGACAGTGTATCTGGAGGGGTAATGGGAGTAACTGAGAATTCCTGCCGCTGCTGTTGCCCTCAGGAAGTACCAAAGAATGTCAGGGTGTGTATTTGTGTATGTGGCTTAGGAAAACATGGCTGCACTGTGGTAGAAGAACACAGATAGATAATCAGTGTGATATCAGTGGATGAGGAGAAAATGCATTTATTCTGCTATTCCCCTATTAATTATACCTCAGAGTTTCCAAGTTGATATGGAAGTTTCTCTCTTAATATATTCCAGCCAATAAAGAGAGAAGGAATGACAGAATATCATTATGTATAGTCTCTAAAGAATTAAGAATCTATCAAAGATTATTAGTAGCACTAATACCAACAGAGAGAGGCAGCAAGCCACTATGGGCCTTCAGATAGAAGTGTACAGCTCCACTTGGGAAGCATTCTTGCCCCAAATTGCGCCTAACTCTGCCCAAATCTCTAGGTATAACTTCTAGTTCTTGGGAAGTGCAGGGCACAGAGGAACATGTTAAACAAGAAAGAAATGAAATCAACACATTTAGACTGTACATTTGCAGAACAGATGAGCTACTTTCTTCAATAAATAAGTTACAAGAAGGGATGAAGAGGAGCTTATACCTTAAAAGATGCTTAAGGGACATAACTAATTGTAAAGTAGGGACCTTATTTGATTTAAAAATAATTTTTTTCGTAGTTGTAGATGTACAACATGCCTTTATTTTATTTGTTTATATTCATGTGCTAAGAATTAAACCCAGTGCCTCACAAGTGCTAGGCAAATGTTCTGTCACTGAGCTACAGCCCCAGCCCCTGAATTCTGTTTTAAATCAAACAAACTGTTAAGGTTTTTTTTTGAGATAGTTGGAGAAATTGATATTGTAAAAGTAAAAAAAAATTAATTGTGGCTGTGTTTTTAAAAATTATTCCCTTTTTAGGGCTGGGGATATGGCTCAAGTGGTAGCGGGCTTGCCTGGCATGCGTGGGGCACTGGGTTCGATCCTCAGCACCACATAAAAGTAAAGATATTGTGTCCACCTTAAAAACATTATTTCCTTTTAGAAACAATGCAATGTATATGGAAAAATAATACCATATGTAAGTTTTTCTTCAAATGATTTGGTGTGGAAAGGAGGGAGATATAGATGGAACAAGATGATCTCCAAGTGTTATCATTTTGGTGGCTGGATATGTAAGGATTTCTTACATTCTTTACTTTTGCATATGTTTGAGTTTTTCTATAACAAAATATTTTAAAAGAGAGTGTTTCTGGTTACTGTGAAGACAGATTTTAATTGCTGGTGTGAGATTACTTTGTGATCAGTAACACAAATATCAGAATTTGACCTGAGGCATATGGTTCACTAATAGAACTTTGCCTAGCATGAGTGAAGTCCTGGATTCTATTTTTAGGACCACATACAGAGAAAAAATCAGAATTTTAAGATGAAAATTGTTGCAGATTGCATGCCTGGGGGAGCAGACCAATTGGAAATTTAGCATATAGGCTGTTTATTAAGGAGAGTTTATTAAGGAGAGCTTAACACCTTTGAGAGGGAGTGGGAAGAAACAAGAATGGGTACACTTATCTGCAGCATCTGGTGACAGCCTTGGGTGACCCTGTCTGAACACTGGATCTGGCATAGCCTTCAGAGATTAGCTGGGTTGGGCCAATATTGTCAGGCCTTCACAAACACATACACATACACACCACATTTACGCTGTCTCACACACACACTGATCATTAATTGGCTGTGACATCCTGTGGGTTGGGGAGCTCAGAGGAGACTGCTCTGCAGCTGGGACTGTCCCTTAATGCACTGACCCCTGAGCTACTTGGACAGTGTTCCCAGTTATTGAGGCAACAAGGCCATAGCAGAGGGATCTAGGTGGTGCCTCACAGTGTCCACTGCAACGATATAGTTGATATTCCACATCTATGGGTGTTGTATTCGTGGATTCCACCAATCATGAATTAAAAACATTCTGAAAAAAATTTGCATCTGTGCTGAACTTTAGTTCTAGGTATTATGCTGACTTTATTTTTAGGTATTATTCTCCAAACAATACTATATAACAACTATTTGCATATCATTTATTATGTGTTAGATATTATCAGTAATATTATTATGTGTTAGATTATATCAGTAATATAAAGTGTGTGGGGAAAGGTCTGTGGTTTTATTTAAATACTATGCTGTTGTATATAAGGGAGTTGAGTATTCACAGGTTTTCGTGTCCACAATGGGGTATTAGAACTGATGCCCAGAAGATACCAATGTGAATTCTACATATATTACAATAATAATGAAACATTTAAGACTACAATATGAGCCTTCTGAATCTTACCTAATAAGAGTACAGTGATATAGTAGAACAAAGTAATTTAAGCTAAAATAGGTCATAAATAATTTTTTTTTTAGAGAGAGAGAGAGAGAGAGAGAATTTTTTTTTTTAACATTTATTTATTTTTTTCTTGGTTCTTCGAGGACACAACATCTTCGTTTGTATGTGGTGCTGAGGATCGAACCCGGGCCGCAAGCACGCTAGGCGAGCGTGCTACCGCTTGAGCCACATCCCCAGCCCCAATAGAGAGAGAATTTTTAATATTTATTTTTTAGTTATCGGTGAACACAACATCTTTGTTTGCATGTGGTGCTGAGGATCGAACCTGGGCCGCACGCATGCCAGGCGAGCACGCTACCGCTTGAGCCACATCCCCAGCCCGGTCATAATTAATGTTAGTATGGAAAAGGATTTGAAAATGATCATGAAGGTATTATTTATGTACTTCAAAACTGAAATAAGATGAAATGATATAAGAAAACCACATTTGTCTTTTTCATGAGATGGTGTCTGTTAGATTTAGGTGCATATTTTGAGGGGGTTGGGTATTAAATATGTTTGAAAGGATAACATAAATTCCTTCAAAATATATAGAGTTAACACATTTCCCCCCTTTTAATTTGTGTCATATATGAATGCAGCCCTAATTTTCAAAATATGCTTTTGCTGATATGTTTAATAAAAATGAGAAAAAGTCTTCCCAGAGGACTAAAAAAATGGTGATCAATTCCAGGAAGTAGGGACCAATTAGGTGCCCTTTAAAAGTAATAATAAGCTTTTATTTAGTCAATGTTTTGCTGTATTGTCCTGGCTGGCCTCAAACTCCTGAGCTCAGGTGATCCTCCTGTCTCAGTCTCTTGAGTAGTGGGACTACAGGCATGCACCACCACACCCAGCCCAGAATGATCTTTAAATTGTGCTGTTTTCTGATTTATTGTGGAGGACTGGTGACTGTTTAAGACAGTTTAATGAAGTTAAGTGTACCAGGTAGGTCCTGAAGAAGAAATAAGGCAGAAGCTTGTGTGTGTGTTTTGAAGATACCAGTAACAGAGCAATCTTCATTTTGGCTAATGTGGATCCTTCTTTACGCAAGCTGCTGTCATATGTTTTTTCTCCTTTTAGGTGTCTGGGAGAACAGCAGGCAGCTCTGCACAGTGGAAAAAGCTCTACCCAATCAGCTGAGAGCAGCAGTGTTGCAATGACTCCCACCTATGTGGACAGCCCACGAAAGGTAAAGGAGGCCACTCCTGTGGGGAACTGCCGAATGCCCACAGAGACCCAATGTGTAGGGTAGAATGGATAACCCTTCCAATCCAGGATTGAATGTGGTAAAACTTTGGATGAATTCTTCCCACACTCTTTTTTTTTTTTTTTTTTTAATTGTTGGTTGTTCAAAACATTACATAGTTCTTGATATATCATATTTCACACTTTGATTCAAGTGGGTTATGAACTCCCATTTTTACCCCTATACAGATTGTAGAATCACATCAATTACACTTCCATTGATTTACATATTGCCATACTTGTATCTGTTGTATTTTGCTGCCTTTCCTATCCTCTACTGTCCCCCCTCCCCTCCCCTCCTCTCCCCTCTTCTCTCTCTACCCCCTCTACTGTAATTTTCCCACCTTCTTTTAAGGTTCTATTACTTTTACCATCTTTATTAACAAACTTTCATATTCAAGTTGTAAGGAAGATAAATTCTAGTTAAGTGCAGTTACAAAAGAAAGTAAAACTGAACTCTGTTGGTTCAGTCCTGAGATCTGACTTGAGTTTTGAAATTGGCCATCTGGTTTTATTGTAGCATCATTGTTAGTTTTCCCAGTCAGGAGTACAGTGCTTCTGAAGAACCTTCTAAAAGGTTTCATTGTTCTTTAATAATGGAATTACTTTCAGTTTTCTTAGACTCCTGAGAAATATAGTCAGACAGAAGTGTTCTGGAAAGAGTAGAACAAAAATAAAAAATTCCGAGATTTTATACCTCTATAAGGAATAGCAAGTGCAGTAGAAGGGCAGAAAACTCTATAGGTGAGGCTTTTTATCTTTTAAGACCAATAGACTTGACTTTGTTATCTTATCTCCTGAGAAATTAAAAATTTGAATTATTCTGCTGTGGTAGGATGAGCTGAATGTACTTCTCTTATCTGGAGGATGAAAGAGATTCAGTAAATATATTTTATCTCTCTAGGCTATCATTTTATCTCCATGTCATAAAAATATTTCATGTCATTCAATATTTTTTCAAAAGTATGATTTTTTTTCCTTACCAGGAATCAGGCACTGTCCCACCAAGTCATACCTCCAGCCTCAAAATGATTTGTAAAAATAGCTATGAGCTGAGGTATAGCTTAGTGGTATAGTATGTAGTTATGTAGTTAGTATGCACAAGGCCATGTGTTCATTTCCCCGGCACCACACACACAGAAAAGCCATATAGTCAGGCATGGTGGTGTTTGCCTATAATCCCAGCAGCTTGAAAGGCTGAGGATCACAATTTTGAGGCCAGCCTCAGCAACTTAGTGAGGCCCTAAGCATCTGTTTCAAAATAAAAGATAAAAAGGGCTGGAGATGGCTCAATGGTTAAGTGCCCCTCAGTTCAGTCCCTGGTACAAAAAAAGAAAAAAGCCATATAATATTTAATCATAGGAATGTAACTTCATTTGGACATTTTAAAATTAGAATTATAGATGCTTTCTAATTTTGAGATAAATTTTGTTAATTATTCTATAAGTTATAATCTGTGATACATCACAATTATAAATAATGTTATAATGACCTTCCTCACAATAATATTTTGAGCATATCTCTGATTATTTCCTTAGCATAAGTTACTAGAATTATATTACTTGAATTACTCAGATGGAGGGATTAAAATATGAGACTAGTGGGGCTGGGGTTGTAGCTTAGTGGTAGAGCACTTGCCTTATATGTGTCAGGTACTCATATTAAAAAAAAATGAGACAAAAATGCCATCTGAAGCTCTAGGCATAGTCTATATGGACCAGTGGCCAGCAAACCTAAATATATACATTAGGCTTTTGGGCCAAAAAACAAAATAAAGCTATTACATAGGTAGTTCTATAAACATTTAACATTATAAAGCAGTTTATCTCTCTCAGACTGTAAAAAGACAGTAATTTGCCACATTTGGACTACAAGCTATAGTTTATTGATCGTTGCTCTAGGGAGTAACTTTAGGTTCCAAGGAGAACTGGTGTGCAAAGAATGTTCTATAGAAAAAGTTTTTTTTTTTTTTTTAACCTGTTCTCATGTGTACATGAATCTTAGCATCATCAGCACTTCTGCCAATATATGTTCTGGCAGAGAGGAGTCAGGAATGGAATAATGAGGTACAAAAGTCCCTTGTGTGCTGCCCACTAGCTTTTTTAGTTGTTTGTTTTGAACATTTGTTTATTGTCATCTTTGAGGATTTTAAAAAGTGCCAAGGATATGATAGAGAAATTATAGAGTCACAAACATTTAGATTAAAATATACTAAACACCAAATGACTAGGTTGCTATTTAGAACGCTCTCCCGATCTTCCAATTGAACATTTAAATCCAGCATAGTAACTGCTACTATTGCTGGACATAGACTCTTAAGTTTAGAGAAGTGGAAGGAAAACTGCTATGAGATGTCCTGTTCATATGCTCAGAAATTCTCAGCCATGTCTTCAGGTATCATTTTGTGTTGGCTGCATGAGCAGTACCTGCCTGTGTTTCTCCATAGCCTCAACTTTCCAAGGTTTGTTTGCAGTGACTAATGGGGAGTAGCAGCAATATTGTTTTCAGTGGCTAATGAGAAATAGCAGTAATATTGCTAAAAAGAATATTCAGAAATTTCAATAATTGTAAAATTATTCTACATTTGAGTTGAAGAAAAATTGTAGGAAAGCAGAGACATTGATCAGGAGCCACTTCTGAATTTTAGTTGTAATCATAGCATAAAAAATAAAAAGATTTTGAAGGGACAGAGGCTGTTTGGAAAAATCTTCTATGTCATTTTTGTTTCAAGTATATGACCATTTTCACCCCATATGATTAGACTGGGGGTAGAGAGCTTTAGAAAACCCCTCAAATGAGTGCTTGTGTACCTGACATTCTATGTATCTTAGCTTCTTGATGATTACACAACAAGTGGAGGAGAAGGTATGGCTGCTTCTGTACTGCTGTGTGCTTAGACGATTAATAGAGACTTCTTCCTGCATCGAATCCTCTTCTCCCATCTGGCTGCCATGTTCAATAACAGGCAGAAGAAACCTGATATCTCAGTATGTTTCTTGTCACCCAGCCAGGCGGGAGGCCAGGATATTGCTACTATAGCCTTTGCCCTGTCATCCCTCAAAGCTGTGGCCTTTCCCTCTTCCTTGCCATAGGTCTGAAGGAATTTCAGAGCTATGTGGGAGGGCAAAAGCATCCAAGCCACACTCTTGGCAGACCTGAGGGAGCTTGGACACACCTTCTAACCCAGGTGCTTTCTCCCACACAGATGGGATATTCTGCCCAGGAAGGTGTGAATTCTTGCTCATACTTTGCATGTGGATATTATCTTTCTGGGTGGCTCTCTCGCCTTATCTCTTTCTTCTTCTTTTTTATTTCTTTTTTTTACCCCATTTCCCTCATGGGTCCTTGTTTTTTTCCTTCCCTTCTTGTTTTTATTTTTATGTTTTATGTTTCATCTCCTTCTTCTTCCCCCCATGGTTAACCGATGGTACACACTCCATTTCTTCACTCTCTTGCACCTGCTGCTGTTGTTGCTGCTTCCTCCTCCTCTGACTTCAGGATGGGGCCTTCTTTATGGAGTTTGTCCGCAGTCCACGCACAGCATCATCTACCTTCTACCCTCAGGTTAGTTCAACTCCAGGGCTCTGCAGCCCTTGCATGCCTGCCCATCAGCAAAAGCCATGAGCTAGCCTTCTGTTCAGCTCTGAGCAGATGGAATTGGCTGAATCTGAGTTTGAGTTGCAGTCAAAATTTGAATTTGATCTTTGAAGTATCATCTCTTCCATGTTTGCAGTGATGGTAGAATAGAAGAGATTCATGTAAGAAGGACGAGTGATCCTCCTGATGTAGAGTCAGTTTTCCTCATTGCTGCCTGACTAGTTCACATGGGTGCTATGGATGTCATCACATTGCATTATCTTCCCTTTTAACTTTTATAAGCAACATTAAATATGTACACTTAGTTGGATGTGGTGGTGCCTGCCTATAATTTCAGCTACTGGGGAAGTTGAGGCAGGAGTTTCCCAAATTCAAGGCCAGCTTCGAATTTAGCAATGACCCTGTCTCAGAATAAAAAGTAAGAGGGCTGATGACCTTTTACCTACAGTCAGTGGTAATGGGTTCAATACCCTTTACAAAGAAGAAAAAGAAATATGCATACTCAAGGAGTAGACATTCATTATTTTCCTTCTAGTACTAGATGGATTTATACTATATGTCAAGAAGTGGTGAATAAACAAAGCCAACATATACAAATATGTATGCTCTGTGTTTTGGGTTAATGATGTGTGACCCTGGGTAGTTTGCCTACCCTCTGGGCTTCACTCAACTCATTTGTCAAATAAAAGATTTAGACTAGATTTTTAAGGGCTTTCAAGCCCTTAAAATTCTTCACTTTCCTTAAGTATTTCGTCTCACAACATAACCTAAAAGTTAATTACAGAATTAATTACAGAATTATAGAAATGGAGAAATTGTGAGATGAAGTTGCTTTATACAGCATAGGGTAGAGCTGGGATTTAAATACAGGACACATAGCCTTGACTTGAGACTTGCTTTATAATTAACAATAACAATAACTGTTTTAGTAGGTCCCTGGTGAAGGGAAATAGTGTTCTTTCCTTTACTGAGGCCGCTAAATAGTATAGGAAATTGACTTTAGTTATAGAGAATCCAGTAAACAGGGTTCATGCTGAATGAGGCAATGTAAAGAGGATGGAATTGGGTGGTTTATAATTTCTTATTTAATAGAATTCAAAACTATCATTTATTGTGTCCCCACTCTGCTGGTGCTTTGTAAACAATCTTTAGTTCAACCTATAAGGTGAAGTTATTATCAACCTTTCTTCCAGATGAAAACATCAAGACTTAATGAAGCTAGCTGATCATAGAGCACTCAACTAGTGAGTGGTTGAGCCCTTACACTGTGGATTTGGTTAACATTGGAGTCTCCCCTTTAATAGGAGATCAGATATTGCCATGCTTGTTGTGTAGGTCTTCAGATGTCTGTATCTACCTGTTCTCATGAGTTCATGACCCTGAGTAAAAGCGTCTCAGGACCTCCATGTCCTAATCCAAACCTTTCTCATGTCTGAATGTGGGAGGCACACTTGATTTTTTTGTTTAAAACAGGCTTGCATTAAACCATATTGTCTTTTGCTTTCTACCCAAAACATGCCCTTGTGAACAGTTTTGGACTTAGATTAGAATTTAACATAATAAATATAGGGCTGCAAGAGAGTTATTTAATAATAACATAATAATCTATACACTTCATGTGGTAGAATTTACCTGTAGGACAAAAGTGTGATTCTTTACAATTGGGAATAGTACATAAAGATCAGATTTTGGGAGAAGCACATAAAGTTTATATTACCCACCAGGTGTATTGTTAAAAAATGTGTAAATTGTTTACAAAATTAACTTATATTAGAGGTAGTAAGGGAGCTCCCTACATATACAAAATTAAGTTGTACCTTTTTAATTGTTTTATGTTCACTTTTTCTTCTTTTTTTTTTTTTTTTGGTATGGGAATTGGACCCAGGGGTGCTTTACCACTGAGCTACACATCCCAGCCTTTTTCAGTTTTTATTTTGAGACAGGATCTCACTAAGTTGCCCAGATTGGCCTTAGCATCCTGAGTTTCTAGGATTATGCCCCATGTCCTTTTGAGTATTAGAAATAATATACTCTTTTCAACAAATTTCAATGGAATGGAATCATAAGGAGCCTATTTCTGATGATAGTGCAATTAAGTTACATGTCAATGAAATACTGATAATAGAAAACCCCCATATATTTTGAAATAAAATAACATACTTCTTTTTCTTTTCTTTTCTTTTCTTTTGTTGGTACCAGGGATGAACCTAGGTGTGCTTAAACACTGAGGCACATCCCTAGTGCATTTTTATTTTTGAGACAAAATCTTGCTGTGTTGCTTAGGGCCTTGCTAAATTGCTGAGGCTGGCTTTGAATTCTGGATTCTCGTGCCTCAACCTCCTGAGCACGTGGGATTAAGGTTTGTGCCACCATGCTTGGCAAAGTAACACACTTCTAATTAATGTGGCAGGAATGATATAAATACCTAACATTGAGCTGGGTATGTGATGGGCATGTTGTCAATAATGATTAGGATTAATATAGTCATCTTTCTTTGTCTATCCACAGATTCAACCAACTGTGTATCAAAAATATTCAGGAAAAAAACGCATCTATACTTTACATGTACAGACTTTTTATTGTCTTCATTATTCCTTAAGCAATACAGGACTAGAATGTAACTCTGATAAAACACTTGCCTCACATGCATTAAGGCTTGGGTTTGATCCCCAGTTACAAAAAAGAAAAGACAAAAAAACTAAACAAAACTAAAACAAAAACCCCTAAGCAATACAGTATAACAACTGTTTGTACAGCACTTGTACTGTATTAGGAATTATACATAATCTAGAGATAATTTGAAGTATATGGGTGGATGTGTACAGGTTATATGTAAATAGTATGCCTTTTTTTTTTTTTTTGTGCATGGGGGTGGGGTGGGGTGGGGTTTATTGGGGATTGAACTCACGGGCACTTCACCACTAAGCCACATCCCCAGCCCTATTTTGTTTTTTATTGTGTCTCACTGAGTTGCTTAGTGGCTCACTTTTGCTGAGGCTGGCTTTGAACTTAAAATTCTCTGCCTCATCCTCCTGAGCTGCTGAGATTACAGGCATGCACCATCACACCTGGGTTTTTTTTTTTTTTTTAATCTTTTTAAAATTGGGGATTGAATCCAGGGGTACTTTGTCACTGAGCTACATCAGTCCTTCTGTTTTTTATTTTGGTCTTAAAACAGGGTCTCGTCAAGTTGTTGAAGGTCTTTAATGAGGCTGCCCTTGAACTTGCCATCCTCCTACCTCAGCCTCTGAGTAGCTGACATTATGAACATGTACCACTTTGCTTGGCATCCTTGGATTTAAATATCCTGGGGGTCCTGGTGTCCTGGAACCAGTTCCCTGCAGATACTGAAGGGTGATTGTTACTGTGTTGCCAGATTATATTGTCAATTTAATGCATCTCTGCTTATTAAGGACTATTCCCTCTCTGTTTTTTCTTTCCACCCTAATCCAGGACCAGAAAATATCAAATGTGTAGTTAGCCCCTTAAAAGAAAGGAGCTACATGTTAAAAGACTATTAGCTTTTAGGCTCTGGTGTCAAGCTGCCTATCACTCCATGAACTGGTGCAAACCTCTCTCTTTGCCAACTGCACTAACCTCCCCCAACCTTGGGTTTTTTATCTATAGAATGGGACTAATAATTCTGCTCTTTTCATAGGGTTGCTATGAGAGTGAAATGAGATGAAGCATCTCTGTGGTTAGCTCAGACCCGGCTCACAGTCATTCCTTTTTTTTTTTTTTTTAAGATATTGATGGACCTTTATTTTATTCATTTATTTATATGTGGTGCTGACCCAGTGCCTCACACATGCTAAGCAAGTGATCTACCAATGAACTCCAACCCCAGCCCCTCACAGTTATTTTTTATAGTGGATCTGTATATGGTTGAGGGAGTCTGGAGTGGGAGGGAGCACAGGAATATAAATCAGTGAATGAGCTTGATTGAACTAATCAGCAATTTTCTCAATGTGTCTAAAAATGGGCTTCAGCTGGGTGGCCTTTTCCACCCTTTCTAGCTCTATGATGACCCTACTGGACCTTGGAATATAAAGTCCTCAGTTCTTGCTGAGTTGCAAAGGTGATGCCATGGTTTTTTTATCCCTCAGAGTAGGTCTGTACTGAGAAGAGATTATTGTTAGTTAAGCTGGGGGGAGGAGCTATCACTGCAATCCAACTTTACTAAGGTAAAAAAATTACCTGTAAAACTAAAGCTGACAATAGTACACAGGGGGTTCCAAGTAACAGTGCCACAGTTGGTGCTCCCTTATGCCACCAGTTAATCATTTTGACTGTGATGAATTTGCCACTCTTTGTTTGATAGCTAGAATAGAGTTGCAGTTTTCCTGTTCTCTAGAAATTGACTTTTGTCATTACAAACAAACATAATTAAACATAAGAATTTGGAGGGCATAAGAAACACTTGATCAGGTAATTTTTTCCTTAGGAGTTAACCTTATGATGTCTTCTGTCTACAGTTCAGAGCCTAAAGGGACATGGTGATCAAGAGAGGCCCTGACACATGAGACCTTAGTCAGTATTAGGGCATCTTCCCTTTCTTGACTCTTTGATCCCCAGCAGATACTCTCATAAGGAGGCTTAGGTCCTAGCAGCCCAGCCCAGCCCAGCATAACAGGTTGGATTTGCATAGTAAATGTTTCTGGAGTCATCACTTTGTTCAGTTATCTCCATGTCCATGGACACGCTCTTCCCAATATACCCTGTAGCAGCCTCCTGTGTGGTCTTCTGCTGCCATCCAGATGCTTTCCAATCTGTTTTCTATCCTGCCTCCAGGGTTATTTTCTGAAATGAAGTCTGATTGTATCATCCATCATTAACCTTTCAAGCCTTTCTTTCCTTTGGGATAAAGATTGAAATGCTTATTATGCATGAAAGGTCCTGCACAATTGAGGCCCCAAACTTTCCAGTCTCATTTTCTTCCTCATTCTCATCCTCACTCTTATACTCCA